GTTTCGCATGTTTCGCTGTAAGATGCCAACCTGTGCTTACGTAGAGAGAGCAGTTAGACACCATGGCGCCACCAGCTCCGGAAGGAGCACATACCACGCTGTAGCCAGAAAATTGCAGAAAAGGTGGCACCAGCATAGTAGAAGCCTCAAGCACGCGGTAAAACAAACTCGCCGAGGGCCTCACGCGCAGCTGCAGCGCAAGCCGCAGTAGCCTTCAACTGTCTCCCGGCCGCCTTGGCAGACCAGGCCCGAGCCTTTGCACATTCCGCAAGAGAAGCTGTCCATTGCTGACGTAACGGCAGAAGGCAGCGAGTGCAGCCCTCATCAGCCAGAGCATTCAGTCGCCGGAGCTGAGCCACCGAATAGCCCCAAGGGGCTTTCCACTCCAGACGCTTGTTATGGCTAGGGATCCACTCAATCTCGGCGCGCGCAGCAAGACCATCCCCAGCCTCCCTCCAAAAGCGCTCCAGTGGGCCCTGCCAGGAGCCCCGCCTCCACCCATTCCTTAAGCGCAGGACCGCCGCGAAGTTGTCCGTCAGAAGCTGAGCACGACAACCAGACCTACGCACAAGCCGCAGTGCCTGTAGAATGGCGATGCGCTCTCCAGCAGCCGGGGTCTGCTCGCCATCGCCAACCAAGCCCGACAAGGAGTGCGTGGTGTCGTCGATTTGAACCACTACGCACCACGCTGCACGCTGCCAGAGCTCCAGACCACGCTGCACAAGACAGCCACCATCCGTGGCGAAGAGGACGATCTTGCCCGCCTCCGCCGCGCCTCTGCAAAGCGCCAGCATCCGCTCCTCACCCTCGACAGGACCAGGGCGCGGTACCTTATCGGGCAGGGGCACAACTTTCAAGAGCAGCTTGCGCTCGTAGACTTCAAGAGCTGTGAGGTCCTCCGTGTCAGCAGAAGCACTGCAGTCGAAGGTCAGGTGGGCCCTCGAAGGGCGCTGCAAGCCACACTCACACGTGTAGGGAACAGGCACCTTGAAGTGCGCCAGCTGAACACCGTCGATGGCGCAGGCCGTGGCGACGCGCATAGCATCCCGCTGGCCTGAGCTTGCGATCTCCTGCAGTGCGCCGAGAACAAGCGCGCGCCGGCCAAGAGGCAGCGCGCCATCCGTTCGCGCCTCGTCATCCCACAACTCTTGGTGCCAAGCCTGCACGGCCGCACGCCGCACTGCACCCAGCGTGTTGTAGCCAGGAACGAAGGTACCAACCAAAGTGTCGAGGACGCCGTTCTCGTAGGTCCAACCCCAGCGGCAACAAAGAGCGCGAAGTTGCTTGCCAGGCTCGTAGTCACTGTAGCCCCGAAGAGCAGCTGCCTGCGCCCGACTCCACTCATGTCTCAAGATTGAGAGCGCCAGGACGAAGTCCACCGACGTCTCGGGCCTGCCAAGAGCAGCGCAGCCTAACAGGCGAGAGCGCCCCCTGGGGCGCGACCCTCCCCACACAGCCCCTTCAATGGCCGCGGTCCACTTAGCCAGGTGGCCCTTGGCATAGTGCTGCCATGGACCCGCCCACTGAAAAAGCGACAGCACAGTAGTACGAAGCAGAGCGCGCCTCAAGGCCGGCGCCTTTGCCAGCTTCGCAACCCTTTCACAGCGGAGCTGAATGACTTCAGTGAGGGCGTCAATCTCAGGCGCAGGCTTCTTAGCAGAAACACTGTAGTGAATGCCAAGAAGCTTGAAAGAAGCGCACGCCGGCCCCAAGAGCTCTCTGTGAGCCTCCAGCCTGCGCCTCACACGAGCGTTGGTGCCAAACGAAGCAATCTTAGCAGGATGGACGACCATGCCAAAGTGATCGTCGACGGGCTTGCCAGCCTCCACCGCAGCCACCAAAGAGCTCACACCAGCCTCGCCCGGTGTCAGCGTCCAAATGGTCCTATCATCCAAGTAGATGCGCAGTGAAATGCTGGGGGCCACACGTTGGACCGAGGCAATCCACACTGCACTCACAGCATTGACGAGCAGAACCGAAAACGGACAACCCTGCTGCAGGCCCTTGCTGACGACAATGGGTTTCGGATCTGCTTGGCCCGCCACAGCGAGAAAGCGTCGCTGGCCATCGTAGTAATCAGCAATGAGCTCCACCAAATCGGGCGGCATGCCCAAATGCGCACAAACGGTTAAGGCTTGCCTCGGGCGAACGTTGTCAAAGAACCGCTTGAGGTCCACCTTGGCACCTGCCAGCTCACCTTGCCCTTGCGCTGCCAACTCGAAGTCGGCCAGAAGCGGGTCGTGAACACCGTGAATGCCGCGGCCAGGAAGCCCACCCTGAAGTTCAGTCTTAGCCCAACCTAAAACCCACGGCCTGAGTCGACGAGAAGCTGCCGAGGCCAGAGCACGCCAAAGAACGGCCCCGATGGACAGGGGTCTGTAGCCACCTTCCGCCTTGGGCAGTAGCGCTATGCGAACGTCCTTCCAAACCTTGGGAACACGATGACGAAGCAGCATGACCCTCCACAGCGCAACCACCTCCTCCCAAAAGTCCAGCGGCAAGCACAAGAGCTCACGCGCCGACCAGCCATCCATGCCAGTAGCCTTGCGCAAGCTACGTTGGGCAACCTGCTGCAGCTCGGTGGCCGTCACCAGGATGGTATCCAAGTCCAGCACAACACCCGCATCCAGGTAGTCAGCGATGAAGGTGGCGGTGTCCGCAGCCATCTCCTC